GCAATTCAGAAGAAGAAAGGAGTGCATGATCTGACCCAGTATATTCCAAGATCTTGTAAGTTAAAAAGGTAATATGAGACCAAAAAGGTTTTAACAGAAAAGGAAATTAATGATCATGATGATAATCCTGACAGATGGTCAGGGGAAGTTGAGAAGATAGGACTAGAAGTGTTATTTAAGGGGAAATGAGACTTTTTTAGGTTTTTTTTTTTTGAGACAGGCTGATATTAAAATAGTTATTGAGAAAAAATATGCAAAGAGTCTCAGATTGGGAATAAACACTTCTTTCTGTATCAGGCTTGAATAGTGGAAGTGAAAAGAAACTTACAATGACTGTTAAAAGGCATGTTCTTTTTGAAGGTGGCTGATAATGGGATTCTGCTATTTGTAACTCAGGAATGCTATTTTGTTGGAGTGCAGCATGGGATAATATACCTGCATGTACACTACCTAATACATTAGACTTCTTTTTATAAATATTCATCCAGAAGCACAGACAATAAATTTGTTCAATCTTATAACTACTAGTTCTGTAGGTGCTGTGGTTTGAACTCTGAAATTGCTCTTCCTGTGGCTAGCTCAGTGAGACAGAATACAGCATTAAGTAGGATAGCTTTCATGTTTCTTTTTCTTATTTCTAATAGCTGCAGATATTTTAGAGTTAGATTAACTTGTCTTTTTTTTTTCTGAAGACTAAGCAATTCAGTTTGCATATATGAACTGCATGGAGAAAAGGAGAGGAAGGGAGGGAAACAAAATAAATTTTCAGGAGGGACTATGGGAGTTCTCATGAATGAAACAGATCATTGCTGCTCCTTGGATCATCACCAGAAATTTACATTTTTATTCCCATAAAGCAGGAGGTATCTTGCAAGGCAGTGTAAGGTTTTCCTAGGGCATTTTAATGCCTTTACATCTTTCTTTCTGGATCATATATGCTTAGCTGTTTAGGGACCTAGAACTGAGAGCCACAGAAGCAGAGGGGAAAGACATGCTGTTTATCTGACTTGCAGTCAGTTGGTAAAAGGTTTGGAACTGTTTCTATTATGAGCAAATTTGTGAGTCAGAGACTGGTTCAACCAGCATTCATCTCTGTGAATTTTCTTAGGTAAAAGGAACCCAAACAAAAAAAAGCTGTTTGGAATCATGGATGCTGCATAGAATCCTAAGACTCCCAGAGGCATAAGACTTTAGTTAAAATGTAAAACACACAATTTAGACAAGTAGTTCAGCTCTTAAGCAACACTTAACATCTTTAATATGACCAATTATTTTGTAGGTGTCCAGAAAATTTCCAGAAATTTGTTATCGAAACATGATAGAATTGTTGTCAAAGAGTGCCAATATGATTGCAATAGTCATGTAAGAGCACTTGGCTACTGTAACAAAAACCATAACTTTAGTGAACTCTTTATTCTAAAAACACAGAGTGAAAAACAGATGAAACTGCTAAAGTTTTATCAGGCTTGACATGGAATTGTTGGTATTTATGTGGATTCCATATAAAATAAAAGGTCAAGACATATTTGAAACTCAATCCTAACTGAAAATATTTGCCACTTGCAGTAAGCCTGGCTCAGCTTTCTGGTTGTGATGAGAAATTCAAACATTTTTGTCACTCTGTTAAATCCTAGATACTACACTGAAAGAGAGGTTTTTGTGTGGGTTTCTTTTGATAGAAAGCCTGTGTAAGTCAGCAAGTGACATATATTCTTATCTTCTCAAGGTGACTTGCATAATTTTTTTGCCTTTGTTTTGAGCATAAAAATGAAGAAATAAAATATTTTATGTGCCATTCGGGCACAGCTGGGGCTAGATGTACCCTTATTCTACTCCCTCTAGAATAAGGCAAATTAAGTGGAAAGTGTTATAATTGCTCTAATAAGCCAAACACTCTTGGGGCATATTCAAGCCACCCAAGAACAATAGTAAGATATTGTAAGTAAGATACATAATAAGTAAGTAAGTAAGATATAATAAGTAAGATCATGTGAAGTGTATTGCTTCTTATGTTTTGGATTGTTAGCAGGAAAATTTGTTTTTCTCTTGAACACACAAGAAATTTGGTTTTCGCTTGGAACACACAAGGGCTTGGACTTCCACCATGTAAGCAGTCAGAAAATATACAGTAGCATTTTAATCTCTGGTACTAGATGCCCAATTTCTACCTGAAATTTGAAGAAACTCAAAGTTACAGCCCAAATATTTGGCTCCTTCCAAAGGAAGCAGAACCTGCTGTCTGAAGTGCTGGGAAGAAATTCTGGCTCCACTGAAGTCAGTGACAAACAGACACATGCTTTGGTACCTAGAAATAACATGAGTTCTGTGTATGAACAGAAAAAAAATGTTGATCTATGTGATAGTTATGCAGCCTTTCTTTAATTTGAGGCTGCTACAAATTTCCTAAGTGAAGGCAAAAAAGAATCAAATGAATGCAAAAACCAATTTCCCAGGCTTTGAAGCAGTTTTATATACTGCTTTTACAGTTATTATTGCAAGCTGATGAGCTAATTAATATTCTAAAAATTACTGCCAAACAGTCAACAAGAGCACCACTTTACTTTAAACTTGCCTGTTAGGGAAGAGGTACTTGTCATATGTTTCAATTCACGTTTTCAGTTCTTAGAGAAGTAAAGAAGGAGATCAGAAGAACTTGCACCTTGGCTGTCCATGCAGTAGACTATAGGCCTTTCAGTCTGACTGTGGTGCCAGGGAAGGTCGTGGAGCAGATCATCTTGAGTGTCATCCTGTGGCATGTGCACAGGAGATTAGGCCCAGCCAGCATGGGTTTATGAAAGGCATTGACTTGCTGGACCAACCTCATCTAATGCCAAGGCTACCTACTCAGTGAATGAAGGAAAGGCTGTGGATGTTGTCTACCTGAACTTTAGTAAAGCCTTTGACGCTGTTTTCCACAGCATTCTCCTGGCAAAATTGGCTGCTTTGATAGGTGCACCTTTCACTGGATAAAAGAAAATGACTGGGTGGCTGAGCCCAGAGAGTTGCGCTGAATAGAATTGAATCTGTCTAGCAGACAGTCACTAGTGGTGTTCCCCAGGGCTCAGTATTGGGACCAGTTCTGCTTAATAACTTAATGAATGATCTGGACAAGGGCATTGAGTGCACCCTCGTCAGTTTACAAATCACACCAAGTTGAATGGAAGTGTTTATATGCTGGAGGGTAGAAGGGCTCTGCACAGGGCTCTGGACAGGCTGGGTTGGGGGATTGAGGACAAGTATAGGAGGTTCTACAAGATGAAGTGTTGAGTCCTGCACTTGGGTCACAATGAACCCATGCCCTGTAGCACTGGGGAAGAGTGGATGTGAAACAACCCAGCGGAAAAGGACTTGAGAATGCTGATCAGCAATAGCTGAACGTGAGCCAGCTATGCCCAGGCAGCCAGAAAAGCCAGTGAAATCCTTGCTTGTATCCACAACAAAATGGTCAGCAGGACCAGGTAGTGATTTTCCCCCTGTACTTGGCACTGGTGAGGCCACATCTCAAATCCTGTGTCCAGTTTTGGGCCTCTCACTTACAAGAAAGACATTGAAGTGCCGAAGTATGTCCAAAGAAGGGCAACAAAGCTGGGAAAAGCAGAAGATTTTTGAGGAGTGGCTGAGGGAGCTGAGGTCATTTAGCCTGGAGAAAAGGAGGACCTTATCACTCTGAAAGGAGGTTGTAGCCAGAAAGGGCTCAGTCTGTTTGCCCAAGTAACATGGGACAGAATGAGTGATATCACCCTCAAGTTGCACTGGTGAGGTTTATATTGGATATTAGTCAAAATTTCTTCACTAAAAAGGGTTGTCAAGCTCTAGAAAAGGCTACACAGGGAAGTGATTGAATCACCATCCCTGAAATTATTTAAAATATTTGTGGTGGTCCTTATGGATATGGTTTAGTGGTGGACTTGGTAGTGCTGGGGTGGACTTGATGGTCTTAAAAGTATTTTTCAACCTAATTGATTCTATGATTCTATTCTATGGATTGAACTATTACTATAAATAGTAAACTAGTCCTTTTTATTTTTTTTTAGGAGTCCCTCTTTTCTCTTATTTGATCTGTCTGTTTTTCTGGGGAGTGATTAATTTACCTGTAATGAGGAACAAAAGGGAAAAAACAGGAGGTGGGAGGGTAGGTGTACATTCTCTTCCTCTTCTCTGGATTCATTGTGCTCTCTCCTATCTTCTCTCTCCTTTTTATCTGTTAATCTTATTACCTATCTTGCTTCATTTCATGCCTTCATTAATAAGTGATGTTCATACTTCCCTGGCTAACATATGCTTTCCCCCCCACATTTCATTTCATTTTCTCCTGTCATTGTCCAAAATTGTAAATTCACTTCCTGTTCTCTAATCTGTTCCTCTTCCTGCCATCACTTTATTTCAAGCCTGCTCTATGCCCTTCCTCAGCATCTTTAAACTGCATAATTCTCTCCCCTCTTCTCTTCTTCGTTTAAAGTGTTAATACCATATTCATGCAGCAGGGGCTTTCAAGGTGGAGACAGGGATAGCAAGGAAGGAAAGAAGGAGGCTTTTAACCCCATAACATTTTATGCAGAAGGTTATCTCTTAATGTATGCTGTTGTACCTGAACTCTCTCTTCTTCCTGGGACCAATATGGTAGAGAAGCACACTATGAAAGCACTGAATATACAGTCCATCAGCAGTTTACACTGTTGCTTTTAGCTGTGGCTCATTCTGGCATTGTAAAGGAAAGATGGAAAGATGGTCAAGCTAATTCTTAACACATAGTAGTTTACTTTCAGACCTAATAAACCATAAATTGTTTGCTTTGTGTCTTGCAACCTAAAAAGTATTACTGCCTTAAAAGTTGTGTTCTTTTCTAATGGGAAGAAAAATAGGGGGCATAGCAGGAAGGTCAAGAAAGAGTTTAAAGAGGAAAGAGGGCAATTAATAGAAGCAAAACATTATTTCTCTTGCTGAAAGTATATTAAAAAGGGGAATATATCACAATAATCAACCAGGTTTTTTGCCTTCAGCCTGTCTGAGGCCATGTGGTTTGGAGATCTGATCACTAGTCCGAAAAGGAAAGGCTGTTTGCAAGATTTCCGGGGTGTTTTTTCCTGGAAAAGGTGAGAGGACAAAAGCAGAAATCTATGACATGCACTTTATGCCTTGTAAGGAAAGTATTCATCTGTCTATCTGCCTCCCTTTCTCTTTCTTTCTCTCTACATGCATATATATATAGAGATCCATATGTTTCAAGCTGTCACTAAATTGATTTGGAGGCAGATTTTTCTTTCATGTACTGCTTGGAAGATTAGGTTAAAAATGCAATATTCAATATACGGCTTAAACCAATTGAATTGGATTTTCTTATTTATTTTGCTCTTTTACATTCACTGTTCAGTATTTTATGGAGTTTTGCATGGTATTTCCATCAGTAATAACAGTTCTGACTACTTGGAGACAGAACAATGCCAAAGCAGAAGACAGTGTTTGAAAATGCAAACAGCATTTTTTAACAATCATGCTTGCTTAATACACTCCACAACATTTTGGTATATACAGAATCTGTGGAATTTTTAAACCATTTCTAAACTCATATTTTGGGTGAGCATGAGAAGCTAGCTCTTTGTTGTATAAAAAAGTCATTATTTTCTCATTTGTGTTTGTGCTGTCTTCCAGTACTCTTGTTTTCTTTAATAGTGTGAACTTTGGTTCTGCTTCTCTTTAGAAATGCTGCTTCCATTCAATTTTCTTTGCAACAGGTTCATTGGGCAGTACTTTGCCCATTTTTATTATATTCTGTGGTTTTATGTGTGTTTTTCTTTTTTTTTTTTCGTTTTGTTTTATTTTGTTTGGTTTTTTTTTCTGGTGTGTAACTAAACATTCTGTGGTTTTATGTGTGGTTTTTCTTTTTTTTTGTTTTGTTTTATTTTGTTTTGTTTTTTTTTTCTGGTGTGTAACTAAAATAATTTTCTGATTAAATTGACTATTAAAAGCCATTATTTACATTAATTTGCACTTGCAATAGCATCACTAGAGGGCAGTATTGATTAAATTAGGCACATTCTAGTGCTCTGGAAACTTAACTGCAGAAAAGCCTCCAGTACAAACATATTTGCATTTTTAATATATGGTCATGGCTTTCAAGTCCATTTTTCATTACATCCTGAACATTAAAAGTAAAAGTAATCTTAATCACCATTTGGCATTGTTATTTTTAACTTTAATGTGTGTAAAAGAACATTCTGTGATTTTTATGGGAAGGAATGTGCATGAAACGTAGTAGAAATTATAAGCCATTGAAGTTATTGTAAGCGATAATTTATCAGAAATAATTATTAAGGCATAACATCTTTACGATAAAATAAATGCTTTTTCATACGTTTTTTCTCAGGGAAAATGCTGTGCAAAATAAATATCTTCTAATTCATTAACTATCTCCTTGAAAAACGTCAGTACAGTGTATTTTATGATAACGGACAGCAAAGACAAGCAGAATTGTAAATTAAAACACTGACTCATTTGTTCTTATTGATTTACAGGTCTCCTGACAAATGCAGCAACACAGAATCCTCGTAGGAGTGGTTTAGGCTCTCTGTGAGCTACTTAACTTAGTCAAGTTTCACTGCTGTTGACCATCATCTGTTATATGTCATCAACTCAACTGTCTGTTTCTCTGTATCTCATGAATGACAGCATAATTCCTCTGCATTATGAGCTAAAGTTTGTTCTACCATTCTAAGGATCACTGGACTAAGGAATATAGAAAAAGAGATATGCTTGGGCATTAGCAATACAAAAAAGTTCATGGTTAACGTTTCATCTGCGTTATACACCACTGCTGGACTTGCTGTTACCTACATGTTTCAATCCGAAGAGTCTGCTACAATGAAGAGTATCATCCCAATCAGCCTTAGAGAAGACTGTTTTGCCTATGGGAGGACACTGAGGTGCAAAAGAGAAACTCTTCTTGTGCCCTAAACTGTCTGAATTGCTTTTATTTTCTTATACTTTCAGTATTTACAATAGACCAAAGAGCAAAATCTATTTTAAAGTGGACACAATCTTACTCTTAAGAGAGTTATGTCATTAAATTGAAGGTCTCCACAAAGACATGATTCCAGCTTTCACAAAGCTGAAATGTTGTCCAGCAGAAGTCTTTACGGAAAGCTGAAGTAAAAACTAACTCAGAAACCTGCTCTTGAAATGCCATGTTCAAGAGAACATAATGGAACACTGAGAGAAAATTACCTATGTTTGAAAAACTTGGACAAAAAGAACACAAACTGTCTATACAGCACCTTTATTCCTCTGTACTTAGATTGACTTTCTCGTACTAAAATCATTTTCCGTTTTAACCAGTTAAACATGCCTCTTCTACAGTTCCATTTTTGATAGTTAAAGTTGGATAATACAGTATTTGCAAAGAGCATGTTTGGTCATCTGTGGCCTATGTCTCATCTGATACACCATTTAGCACCAGAAAGCAAATTAAAGAGAAAACAAAAGTAACACTTGTTTGAAAGAGATCATTAAATGTATTTTGAAAAGCCTAAAGTTATATATTTAACAGTTTTTATATGTTGTATATTTGTAGAAAATCCTATTTAACAATTAACGTGATAACTCTGACAGTCATGAAAAGTGGTTCAGAGTTAAGTTGTGTTTTATTACTTCAGTTGTCTCTGAAGTGACTGGTGTCGTTTGCTTTCTTCCACTGGGACATTCTGGATGTAAAGCATGACCAGAGAGGACTGTGTAGAAAAAGCAAAGAATAATGTTGTTTATATTACATAAATGCATTCAACCATTGCACTGTTGGAAGGCATTTTTTATTTTTATTTTTATTTTTTTGTCTTTATGTACTGATAAAAATAGAGTGTAAAATATTTTACTCATTGCTCTTCATAGCAAAGTTTTCCTTCCTTCCTTCCTTCCTTCCTTGTAAGGGTCAATTTGAAGCCTGTTCCTTGATCCCATTTTCAGTGTTTTACCTCATTGTTAGAAAGCCCACTTTTTCAGCATTATTGGTTAGTGAAAATTTAGCAAAGACAGCATAGACAAGGGAGAAATTATGATAAAACAGAAACAAAATCTTGTTTCTTTTACTGTACCTTTTGGCATATAATTTTAGTACATATTGGTATGATACAATCAACAAGGGAGCTTAATTTCTTCCTGGCAAATGTATTACGGTTTCAAGTATACTACCTAATAGTCCAATTAACTTTTAGTGTTATGCTAGTTCTATTCTAATAAAGAAAGAAGATATAGAGATTATTCAAGTGACCATAGATGAAAGATACAAAAATGAAAAATTGATTAAAGAATTTTTTAAAAGTCTACTCAAACACTGAGGCTTATATAATGTAGAGGTTGCAGGAAAATCTGAACTATGGATCATTTTGTCTTCAAGCAAAATAAATATATACAAAATTCTTATTTAATCATAGGATTTTGACCAGTATCAAAGTAGCAATTAAAGCCCAACCACTTGTAAAGTGTTATGGACTGACTGCACTATAAATGACCAATGTCAGGTTTAAAATGTCATGCAATAAATGATGGTAAATAGATTTACTGTACATGTAGACCTCAAGAGCCAGATCCCTCACTCTACCAACTCTCTGTTTTGATTTATTTTAAAGGGAGCTTCGTAGCCTTATTTAGTAAACACAGAAAAAATGGAAGATGTTGCATCATTTTTGTTGCTTTACAGTATTCAGTTTTGTGTTGGTTCAGCTAAATTATGAAAAATAAAGAAAAACCTTTTATAAGTGAGACTTGTTCCCTGAGCATGACATCACCAAAGGAGTTCCACCAGATGATAAGAAAGGTGGGAACACAGAGAGGGAGATGGAATTGGAAACTGAGGACATGAACTGTATTTTGAAGTTTTACACTTTAATTTTCATGTCTTAGGTACCTTCATTTTGGTGTATTCAGTTACAGATCATATTATTGTCATTTATTTTCAGGAAAAGGGATCCTCTAAGAACAAGAGGATCTAAGAATGGACATCTGAAATATTTACATCTAGAATCATACAGTCCAATCAGTTATGAATATGCAACCTTATGTCTTTGTTTTCTAATTACATTAAATATTCAAAAAAAGGGTAGATGTACATGGTTATAAGGTCTACTCTGGATAAGAACTATCAAAGAAAAAAAGTTTGATTATTCTTCAGAGGTGTGTTCTAGTTTCTGAGTCTCTTATGTACAACAGACACTTCAAGGCACTTAAAATGTGTTTTGTGCTTTTCCGTCCTCCCCCAGAATGTATAGTTTTAAACAAACAAAATATACTGGCTGCCTTTGTCACTGTGAATTACTACTCTAAGAGCAGTGGTGAAATGTTTCTCTCTCAGGAACAATATGTTTTCAGAATATTGTGAACTTTAATTTTACAAAACTAAGTTACGTAAAAAAAATTGTTTGTTTCTGAAAGTATTTTATGTGCCTCTTCCAAAGCAGAATTTGAAACACAGAGGGTAATGTCTTATTTGAATGCTATTAAATATCCGTCATTTCTCAGCTTGCACACAACTTTTTCAAAACATGCTTGAAAAGGAACAGAATAATACATAAAAACACATAATAGACTAATAAAAAAAAACCTCCATAAATGCAGTAAACCTTCAAATATTTTTTTTGAAAAAAGCTTCTATGTAGCTTTCTGTTAGCCCAGGCAAGGACACATTTAAGTACTGCTTTTAATATTTGGGATATCAAATGGAGCAAACATTAGCACACTATAGCAATCAATGTGACACATCATTCACCAATTTCATAATTATGCTTTTAGACTTTTTTTTTTTTTGCCAATTCATTTTATCTAGGCAGCAGCTCAGGTTTTATGTGGTATTCTCAATCATTCACTTGTTTACTGAAATTGTACCTATGTGCTGTTGCATAAATCTTTAACCCAGGCAGTTACTATCTCATATAACCTACTCATCACAATCCTGATTACTAATTAGCATTTTGAGAAGAAAATAAAGAATTCAATACTGTGTCTGAAAAGCCTCTATAGCTGTGAAGAACAGCTGAACTAGACGGTGGTAAATGATTGGATGACAGAGAAATCATAGCACTGAATGCCTGGGGAACTGAACTAGTGGAAAGAAAAGATGAACAAACCAGCAGTGGATGTAGCACAAGAAGCCCAAAAAAACTCCAAAAAGCAAAAAACCAACCAAACAAAAAACCAACCAACCAAAACCAATAACAAACAAACCAAATGAAAACAACACAAAAAAAAAAAAACCAAACAAAACCAAAATTGAAATATTTATTATACTTAATCAGAGGCATAAACCACAACCAGAACCAGCTCTTTCATCACATAAACCTACCTATATCCAGTATCTTTTCTAATTAAAAAAATACATAAGAAGGCATTTTCTTTTAAACACCTTTATATAATGTATACCAAGAATCACATATACATGAGTAACAGACAAAAGACAAAGACAGGAATGGCTTGACAAAAATTTTCTGACATCACAGAATTGATCCTACATTGACGTAATGAATCTCACACTCGGCATACGCAAATAAAGACGGACAGAAATCACAATATTCTACTTCTGCTTTCAGACTGGGGCTTGGGTAGAGAAAGGAGGTCAAGAAAGAAACTGAAGAAGAAAACAACCAAAACCAGAGAAAAATAACATTTTTCATTTCAGAATATGTAGTGTTTAATAAGTGCTTTTTAGTATTCAATACATGGTAGAGGAGTCAAAAGGAGTATTATTTGAAACAGGGAAATAAGAAAGGAAACATTATTTTAACTGCAGAGATGAGAATTTTACTGATAATGTGGTTGTCTTCTTTTGAGATATAAATCCCATTAAACTTAGAGACCCATGGGTAATATATAAAAGGCAATTCTGTCACTGATTAAAAATAAACTAAAAACTGGGAAATAAACTAAAAAGTGGAAATGACAATAAGCCAGAATAGATAGTGACTAATAATGAGCCATTCTGTGGGAGGATCAACACAAGTTCCTGTACTGCTTCTGACTATGAATGAAATATAAATACTGAGTTTGCACAGTTTGTTAGTATTAGTAAATTACACAGATTACTGAAGATATGGGAGGCATATGAAGTCATGCAGAGACAAAATGGATCACCAAATATTAGCAGAAAATGGAAAGCTGAAAACTGGAAGTGTCAATTTTTTATTTCTTACAACATCAAAGTAGTTATAGCTTCAACTATATCAAATATTTGGAAATATGTGAAAAAGTACTTCTCATGAAATAGATACTAATGTTGGTTTCAAGCTACTCAGTGCCTAGGTCAAGTCACTGGTTTGATATAGTAATCCTGTGTAAGTTATGCTTTTTCAGAGCCCCAGCAAGCCATTGGAAGGATCTTACAATGTGTATCTGTAATCACAATGCACTATGTGCTCATGGCACTGTCCTCCACATCTGGCTTGGACAGACCATGCCAACAATTTTCTAAGTTTGATATTCCCAATATCAGGCTAGTGAAAGTGACACTAAATCACTATATTTTGCTGCAGTGATGCAAAAAGACCTGTGCAAATGAACTAAGTTGATTAGCATATAATCAAAACTCAATTTTTCTAAAAGTATTAATAAATAGCATGCAAAGAACAGCTTAAGGAAAAAACCCAAACACACATAAGGACTGCTAATGTAAAAAAAAAAAAAAGAAAACAAACAAACCCCACACCAAAATCTAGAATGAAAAAGGAACATTTCTGCAAAGATCTTTGTTTAGGAGTAAAAACTACAAAGGTGTTTATGTTAGTATAGAGTCTGACATAATAAAAGGAACGTTGTTAGCATGTACTGAGAGCAGTTTACATTATCTGAGGAGCTTGAAGACTACCTCAAAGCCATCGAATAAAGAAAGCACTGTGAGCAAGTGTCTGTCTTCCTTCACTGCCCTGGAAGAAGCTGATGTCTCTTCTTGGGATACATTTTTATGTTCCCAAGAAGAGAGACAGGTGGTTTACTATGGGTTCTCACACAGGCATAACAATACACCCACCTCAGGCAGAGGCTGTAATGACAGCAAAGGTTGGCATCAGCTGTCAACTAGATTTTTTTGCTGAATTGTAAAGGTGCTAAAAAAAAGTGGGTAGTAGAAGCCTGATGTTTGTTAATGTGTTTGTACATTAACAGTCTGGCTTTTAATGTACAAACACATTGCACAAAACAGCTCACAGAACCCCAGTGGCAGTAAAGAGGGCCTTCCCAGCACAAAGACTGAAGCAAGTGCAAGGGTCATATATTTCTTCCTCTATATAAAACAATCTCCACCTGGATAGATGAAAATTAAGGTGGGTCCTTCTGTCTACACTCTCCATTCACTTCACAAAGATGTGTTTAAGCAGACTCCAAAGCATAAATTCAACACCAATGGCAACTTTAAAAAATATAAGCCTAAATGGCATGCTATTAACAAACAAAAAAGTATATTGGTGCTTGAAGATAATCTTGTTTAATTTGACACAATTTAAAATTTCTGCCTCAGTGAAGCCATGAAGCACTTGGTTTTCTCCACAGACAGATTTGTTTCTTCTCAGAATATTGAAGAGCACATCATGAGAGTGATAATGTAACTTTCAGCTCATGCAAGACAAATCAAAGCTCTGGAGGTGAGCTTTGGAGGGGCAAAAAATCTAGGTAAGTAAATAACAATGATCTCATTGTGCACAGGAAACTAACCCCAGAAAATGACACAGACAGTTCTTGTGACAAAGGTTGTCCAGGAACCTACATGTGTTGCTGTAGAGTTTCTTCCAAACCTGGAACACATGAAAACTGTCTAAACCCAAAGATAAATACAGCAAGTTAGAGGGAACAGTTACTGTGAAATCTTTGCATTTAATTGTACACATCAGGTTAGTGTTTCCTGTACTTAATTACTTGTTCTTCATGGATTAACAAAATATCATTGGAAGAAATCTTTGTCACTGACTCCGTGGCAAGGCCATTTTGTATTATTTAGATGGTGACTGTAGTTTCCTTAGGCAGTTTGACAGACTCAGCAAGCTTCCTCTCCTCTCCTTTTTCTCCCATTGGTTGCACCCTGTAGTGCTCTGTAGACATATCCACTGCAATGGTTACCAGGAGTCCTAAAGGAATTATTTCAAGGTTGGTCATCCTGATTTGCCTACTGGTGTGGGTTTGTCTGTGTGTGATGCTGTATCAACTAAAAGCCCAGCTTTTAGTTGCCTCTAGCTGAGCACTTGGATACCAGGTGGCAACTGCCCCTCAAGTTTGTTACTCTCGGGGGGATCTTGTATAGGCTACATAGTATGAAATGACTGCAATTTGAAAGGTTTCTGAGATGATCAGGAATGAAAGATTTCTTCAGTATTTCTTTTCTCTTCAGTTAAAAAAGACAATTGTTGCTTTTTCAAAAGCCTTTTATCATTCTTTTACTGTCTTGTGTAGGATTAGAAGTACAAAGTCTAGATAGATGCACAGTAAAGCTTGTTGACTTCCTACTTGTAAAGATGTCTTGGTCCAGAAACAAGGCAATCAGCTTGTAAGACAGCTATTTACATCCAATAGTACTTTTCTGTGCCCCTAAACCAGTTCTTCCTGAAGAAAAAACTTGAACCAGAAGTAAAAAATATTGCTATTCATTCCACTTTTAAGATAACGCCTTAGCTTATATTTCTAATTGAGAAGCTTCCCAAGTTTAAACATTTAGTTACTCAGTGAAATAATTCAGAGGTCTGTGTCTAATGATGCCATCTCATGGCACCTGTCATAATGATAGCTAACCTTGTCTGTTATTTTTCCAAACAAATATAAAAGCTATAAAGTGGCTTCATCAAATAATCAGTGCTCAAAAGAAATATTGCCATATACAAGGAGGAATATCTTGCTGTATCTTCTAATGTTATTAATGAGAGAGGTGTGTGTTTGAGGACAGTCCTACTTTCACTAATTTCATAATTAAAAGGAAAAAAAATCCTTACAACAAGGCACACCTCTTATAGGGGTATGAGGAATGTATTCATTTCTTAGATAGTGAGTTGGTTGAAGGGAATATAGCTGCACAGTGATCTATTGCTGAGCTGTAGCAAGGCTCCAAGGCAATACTCTATTGCTATTTTCATTTTACTGAAAGGTTTCCCCTACTAGAGTGCATTGACCAATATTTCAGTCCTATCATGAGCTAAACC